GAGAGAGAGAGAACCTTAAGCAGGCTCCATGCTCAGCATGGAGTCCAACGCAGGGCTCAATCCCATCACCTTGGGATCATGACCTAAGCTGATATCAAGAGTCAGACATTCATCTAACTTGAGCCACCCAGGTGCCTCAAAAATCCTTTTATTTTAAAGTCAACTGATTAGCAACCTTAATTCCATCTGCAACCTTAATTCCCCCTTGTCATGCAACATAATATAGACATACATTGCAGGGATTAAGATGCGGACATCTTTGAGGTAACCATTATTCTGCCTACCACAGATGGGAATAAAAAAGAAGTCTAGAAAGGTAAGCAGGGTCTGGACCAGAAGTACTATGTATGTCTTTTGAAAAATCTCCTGTCTTTAATTCTATAAATAACATGATGCCACTGATGAGTTTTAAGGAAAAGGAATACAGAGATTTGCATTTAGAAAGAGACTATGTGTGGAAGAAAGATTAGAGTAGGGTATGACTTGAGAAATGAGCCCATTTAGAATACCCTGCAGTGCATAATATTGGTTAGCATCTCCAGGGCCAGAAGTAAGGCAGAGGTGGGAATGATGAATTATTTGAGAGATATTTAAGAGTTGGAATTGATTTGATGTGGTTATCAACTGATTTTAGTGGGTTAAGTTTCTTATTTTGTGATAAGATAGATCATGGTTTCATTCACCAAACTAGTGAATTTTAAAAAGGAGACAGGTCAGAGAATTGTTTTAGAGTTGTTGAGGCTGCTGCTGCTGCTGCTTTATCAGCCATAGATTGCCTGTCATTAGGCTTTTAGGCCACAGAGAAATATCTTTTTTTTTTTAATGTTTATTTATTTTTGAGAGAGAGACAGAGCGTGAGTGGGGGAGGGGCAGAGAAAGAGAGGGAGACACAGAATCTGAAACAGGCTCCAGGCTCTGAGCTGTCAGCACAGAGTCAGATGTAGGGCTCGAACTAGGGAATGGTGAGATCATGACCTAGGCCAATGTCGGATGCTTAACCAACTGAGCCACTCAGGTGCCCCTAAATATCTATCTTTTTAAGCCTCTCTTACATAAACTAATTCTAACTCATACAAAAGGATTCCATGATCTCTACTTTTGTCTTATAATTACCACTGGACCATCAATGTTATTCAATGCCTGATGCTATTTGTTTACATTACCTTACTGAGTCCTCACACGGATCTTGAGAGGTGTATTTTATTATTATGCCAATCTTTCAGTTGAAAAAACTGAGACTTTATGATATCACAGTGCCCACTGTCTGCCTACTATATACTATCCCACACAAAAAGTTTGTGCCCAAAATGTCAGGTAATATAAATGCAATGGACTGGAAACAGAAATAATAAGGTATAAGAATAAGGAGAAGGAGGGGTGCCTGGGTGGCTCAGTTGGTTAAGCTTCCAATTCTTGGTTTCAGCTCATACCTCTCACAGTTCATAATTTCAAGCCCCACATCAGGCTCTGCACTGACAATGTGAAGCCAGCTTGGGATTCTCTCTCTCCCTTTCTCTCTGCCACTCCCCCACTCACATTCACACTCTCTTTATCAAAACAATAAACAAATAAAAATTTTTTAAAAGAATAAGGAGGAGAAGAAATATTCATATCCTTCTGAACTTATCTTTCTCAACTTCAAAATTAAAAATTCTTTAAAATTTCAAGGAAGATATTACCAGTTTTACATCAGTAATGTGCTTACTTAACTTCACCTGGGCATGTATTGTCATAGTTGTAAATGACAATTTAAGCAGAGAACACTGTTGAACCAAAATTTGTATCTTTCAGTGTGAAGAGCCACAAAGGAAAAACCAAAAAATGGAAGGCCAAAAGGCAAAGTCAGAAGGAAAAAGGATAAGATAAGCCCCACCCTGAAGAAGATAAAATCTAATGAAGAGAGCCTTAGAACTTTTATTCTAGAACTTTTCTTCTTCTTCTTCTTCTTCTTCTTCTTCTTCTTCTTCTTCTTCTTCTTCTTTAGACCTTTTATTCTTTATCTCCAAGTGATTCAGGAACTACAGTTAGAAGGATTTCATGAATATGCAAACTAAAACATGATAAACTAAACACATTTTCCATAGCTTCCTCCTAAAAATCCATTAAATGAAAGTAAAAAAAAAAAAAAAATTAAAGGGCATAAACCTTTGTTAGGCACTTAGTACCTCCCCACAATCATATCTTGAATCCTTAAACCCCTAATGTGACTGTATTTGGAAAGAGGGCCTATAGGGAGGTAATTAAAGTTAAAAGAGGTCATAAGAGTTGGGCCCTAATCCAATACAACTGGTGTCCTTATAAACAGAGAGACACAAGAGCCCTCCTTTTCTCCACGGGTACACAGCAGAGATCATGTTTGAACAGAGGATGAAAGTGCTGTCTGCAAACCAAAAGAAGAGGTCTCACCAGAAACCAACCCTCACATAGTACATTGATCTCTGACTTCTAGCCTCCAGAGTTATGAGAAAATAAAATTTTGTCATTTAAGCCAGCTAGTCTATGGTAGTGTGTTATACAGCTACCTAGAAGATAAGCGTTTGGGTGTAGGTGTATCAGACCTCACTCATTTGTATCTTCAAAGCTGCCTGTACATATCTTGCCTGCATTTCTCTAGGCAAAATAATACCAGATTTAGTAATTTACCTATGAATTCCATAAGAGGGTCACAGAATTATATTTCTTTAACATTACATAAATTACTTAACTTTTGGCTT